GGAAGGTCATGACCCTCCATTCAACAGGTTTGTAGTTTGAACAATTGTTCAGATTTTTATTTTGGATTCTCACCGTCCAGCCACATTTTTGTCCTTGAATGAACAAATGGCTCACGGTGCCATGCTTATGATGATGGTTGATGCTTCAGAGCTTGGTGACAGGTTATGACCAACTATAAGCTATTGTTTCCGTGTTTGTTAAACCAGACCTACTGCCACGGAGTCGATTCTGGTACATAACAACCATTTCCAAGACTGTACATCTTTACATAGTTCTCCCAAGGAGTAGCTGGTGGATTTGAACTGGCAACCTGTGGCTAGCAGCCCAACACCTAACCCAGTACTACCAGGGCTCACTGTGCTTAATGATTTCAACAAATGTACCTCAGCTTCATGGTCACCTGATTGTACAACTGCGCTAAAAGAAACTGCTACTGTGTTTTTGCCTTTGAGAGATTCATAAATGCCACTGGCCACCTGCAGGACCTTTTCAGGCTGAAACCATAAGGTAGTTCCTTTGGGAAATAAAGGTTTCACATCAGGATGTGTTTTATTGTCAAGGGAACATTTAAAGATTTTGACATTTTATTGTACTAATATTTTGTGTCTACAAATACCATAGGCCAAAAAGGTTCTATTTTATCGTTCTTTAGTTCTTAATTTTTACCTTCTTGGTTCTCATTGCTGATTATCTACAAATTGCCAGCTAGTTTTAAAAAGTGTGTATTGCTCTTTAAGGAATGATTTGTTTTTCTTTGAAATGGTTGCTTTATGTAAAACTGAGATGCACTTAGCTTTCAGTGGATCGCCTGCTGACTAATTTTGGGCAGCTAGCAGTTTGTCACTGAAACTAGCATTGTTGTAAGTTAATGTTTGACCATTTATAAACAATAATTGTAAAGACATCTGTTCCTGAGAGAGTTTGCAGATTATATGCTTGGATTAGCTTTTCAAATGAAACAACTGAAATGCTGTGAAAGGTTTATAAAGCATCAGTGTACATCAATCACCAAGTTGGCATAAACGAGGGAAACTAGCAGCTAAAGACAGAATGAAAGCAGGAATCCTGAGATCTGAGCTTGACCATGAACACTGCGGCTGCATTTTGGAAGTCGGGTGGGGAGTAGCTGAAGCCTACAGACCTCCCAGGTGGAGAGTTTACTGACTGAGGCCCTCCATGTGAGGGGAATGGCTGAGAGGGGTAGGAATGGGGTGTGTACAGGAAGAGGATACAGCAAGAAGCCCACTTGTCTGCATCCTGGCACTAGGTGGGAATAAAACGTGAGAAAAGCCGAGCTTCACATGAGTGCAGGTGGTATTGATTGTGCCTGTAAGGTCCAAAAATCTCTCGCTAAGGATTTCATTGAAATTGCTATTAGGCTGGTTACATCTCATGAGGCAGCCAAAAGCAAAGAAAAATCCTCTCTGTGCAGCTTCCACCCAGGCCTCAAAAATCCCCTCCTAGGTGTCGAGGGACATCTGCAATTTATATTCAAAAACCATAAAGCAGACAAAGACATTCCCCAGCCTCAGACAGAGTGAGCAAGAACACCAACAAGTGGATGATCAGATTCTTGCTGTAAACGAAATGTTTGGTATGCTTTTTTAAATGAAGGCTTAATGTGATGGCTGTTGTTAGGTGCATCAAGCCAGTTTTTCAGTGCACAGTGACCTCCCAGGACAGAGGAGGTCCCCCATAGGATCTTCTGTGCTGTCATCTGGACCTGCAGCAGATCATCAGACCCTTCCCTCGTGGAGCTGTGCGGAGCTTCAAATTGCCAACCTTTGATTAACCGTGGTGTAGTTAACCATTTTACCACTTATGAGTGTGGTACACTCATAAGAAAAAAGATTTGGGGAGAAAAGAAGAAGTAAATGAAAGAAACAAAATAGCATGAAACATCATGGGATGGATTTTGAAAAGGGCTGAGTAGAACTTCTAAAAATCAAACCTATAACCACTAACATTTAAAATGGACTTTTTAGGCTAAAGAGGAGATTAGACACAGGTGAAGGGAAACTAACAAATAGGATTATAGATGCAATGACATTTCCTAGAATTCTAACATGTGTATAATCATCATTTGTGTTGTTGAAAAAAAAGATATTTGCTATGAAGGAGTCATTGATCTTGCAAAATTCGATCCTGTGATCTCCAGCTTCATTTCTGTCACCAAGGCCATATTTCCCAACACCTGCTCCTTCCTCCTTGCTTCCAACTTTTGCACTCCACTCCCCAGTCACTAAGAGTGCGTCTGATGGCATGTTTGACCAATGCCCAACTGAAGTTGTTGGTAGAATTCTTCAACTTCTTCATCACTAGTGTTAGTGGTTGGTACATACATTCAAATAATAGTTGTATTAATTGGATTTCCCTGGAGGTGGATAGATAGGATCCTATCACAGACAGCATTGCACTTCAAGATAGATCTTGAAATGTCCTTTTTGACAGTGAATGCAACACATTCCTCTTGGCTGTGTCGTTCCTAGCATAGTAAAACCATTTGGTTTCCTGATTCAAGTAGCCAACACCAATACAATTCAGTAAAACCTGTGGGAGGGTGTTTTTAGATTCCCTAAAAAATGTTTTTAGAACTTTCTTTACATAGACTCCACATTGTATGCTAAGTGGATTCCAAAGCATTTTGTGACTTATACATCTGTTGTAAGTGAGGGTATATATTTTTTTTTTTTTGCTTTTCGATATTTCTAACTAGAGGAGGACAGGACAGGGAGATATGGGATAGCTATGGACTTTTTCCCAGCTGCTTACTTATCTGAATGCTCAAGGTCACACAGCTCAATAGGAGTGGGGTTGATGTTTTAATCAAATATATCTGACCACAAACTTCACTGTGTTTACCAGGGGATTATCTTTTCCCTGATAAATTTAATTCAACAACAAATTATATGATGATATCCTATGAGGGTATATGAGATAATGAATGTAAAATGGCTTTGAAAGACTCAAGGAATATAAATGAACTATCTAAATTAATGTAGCAATCTCACTGTGAAATTGAAGGAAGGAGATGATCGGAGAATAGCTAAGGCCCAGTGTTGCCTTTCATTAATGTAGAAGTCATAGAATTTTGCTTAGAAAATTTTCCCAGTGTTCTCTGAACATCAATGCTGAATACATTGTGTAGAAAGAAGTCTTCCCAATGTTTGTTGGCTGGTTAGTTTGGGGTTTACTGAACATTTAAAAGTGGGGCTAGTGAGTTGTGTTTTGTTGTTGTTGTTTCATTTTAGATGATAGCCCCCTCCAGAGTAATTCTTCTTTAGGTTTTGTGAGTTGGGTCAAGGTTTACAGAGCAGATCGTCAGTGTTCTATTTGACAGTCCAGATACATTTTGTTTCAGCTCTTCATTTGCGACCCCCTCGGTGCACCGTCCCTGTCTGCTTCCTGTGGGGGCTCTTGCTTCCTTTCCTCTTCCTTCCTCCCCCTCTCTTTGATCGGAAGCAGTTGGTTGTTCTCACATGCAGAGGAGTTCCGTCCCAGACCTGAAGGGTAGTGGGGAGTCCGGAGTACTTCTAACACAGTGATTCTCCACCTTCCTCGTGCCGCGACCCTTGAGTACGGTCCCTCATGCAGTGGGGAGTCCCAACCATAAAATTATTTTCGTCGCTACTTCATACTGTCATGAATCGGGCGATCCCTGTGAAAGGGTTGTTCAACCCCCAAAGAGGTCTCAACCCACAGGTTGAGAACCGCTGTTCTTTTTGTTAATCATTTTATTGGGGGCTCGTACAGTTCTTATCACAATCCATAAATACATCCATTGTGTCAACTATGTTTGTACATTTGTTGCCGTCATCATTCGAGAACGCTGTTCTATGAAAACAGGAAAATATTTTCCCTTTCAGTCAGCACCAATGTTATTTTGCACAGTTGAAATATCTGCCGTCCTACTCAGGCACTGAGTATGAGATCATGAATGAAAAAAAGACAAGCAGTGAATAAACTATTAAGTACATAATTGTGTCTTGAGAGAGGCATGTGAAGAATTGAACAGTGAGACGTAGCTAGCTACTGAGTGCTGGACCAGGCCGAGGACACAGCCAGCACTCCTCACTGATGGGGGATGAGAGTTGGCGCAAGGCGGCTAAGTGAACCAGGGCTTCACAGTGGAGCCCTTGGTAAGGAACTGAAGTTTATTCAAAAGTACCTGTCATTGAACGTTTCTGAGAAGGTCTCTACTGTGGACCAAGTTAGGATGTGCAAACATGTAGTGGCAGTTACACCATGGCAGTCAGGAGCGCTGTAGACCCGGCGTTCCTGTCTGAGTACCATTGGATATTTTGGCTGGGTAGCCCTGCTAGTCACTGTCCGCCAGTACCACTCTTCTCCCTCACTTATGAGAACTTAAATGTCTCCAGCCATTGCCAAATGCCCCTTGGGATACAGTCAGCCCTAGCTGAGAACCACGACCGTACCTTCAGTTCCCAAACTTGTTCAGCCTTCTGCTCCCTTTTCAGAAAAAATTATTATTCAACACCCCCCAGTCAATTAAAAACTTCTCTACTATAGTCCCAAATCCTAGGTAAATGTAGGTATATGCTTTTGCAGCCCCCCCACCCCCCCATCGATTCCGTGCCTGCCCCCAGGGGGCAGTATCTCTCACCCACTTGGGGAAATAGTTGTGTAGACCAAGGGGGAAACAGAGAAGACGTACACTGCAGATGTGGTGGTGAAAGCGGAGGTAAGAACTCAGATTTGATACACACGGCTGAGCTGGAAGAAGATTTACCAGATACGAATGACAATGAGCCAGAGGAAGAGAGCCTTCACTCTCTCTTCCCTGCCAGGTTTCTTAGGGACTCCGTAGCAGTTTTTAAAGTTTCTCTTAAAATTCACCCAAAACTTGCCTTCAGACCCTCCACATGTTGTCTCTACTTGGTCTCCTATAGCTAGACAAGTTTGTGCCTCCTCCTTGCCCCCAAACCAGCACCATCTTCAAACACCGGGGAGATGACAGGGGTGTTTGATCTCTTACCAGGAATTCTGAAGTGGGTAAGGCTGATCGACAACTTCGAAGGGGAGTACGACTACGTGACCAATGAAGGGACGGTCTTTACGTTCAAGACCAACCGCCATTCTCCCAACTACCGCCTGGTCAACATAGACTTCACGGACCCTGACGAGGCCAAGTGGAAAGTGCTTGTTCCCGAGCACGAGAAAGATGTCCTGGGTAAGGTCACGGGTTGTTGGAAGCGTGCACCTTTGGCTTAGGTGAAAAGCTGGGACCGCTCTCATTCTCTGCCCACCGGTTCCCAGGTTAGGGACCTTGAACCTCTGGTCACTGGGAACACCGTGTCCAGAGAGTGCAAAGAAGCATTTGCTGTATGGCATCTTTGTCATTTAGTATGGTATCTGTAGAAATACAGGCTCTTCCTAAATATTGTGAAGGTATGAATTCAGACTTTCAAAGGTACTGCTGTTAAAAATATATCAGTCATCTTTGTGTGGCTTTTGTCTGCCAATAATGACAAATGTTCAGTTTTTCATACCATTTAAATTCAGAACCCTTTGCTTCAAGCTTTTGAATAACCTTTAGCTGTTCACATTATACCTACTGTAGATCTTGCTGGTAGATTTGCCGTCCACTTATTAGAAAAGAGAATAGACTGTTGTCAGTTAATTGGAGCCCATTGCGAACGCTGCTGTGTGCACAGAACCACGTTAACTTCTTGAGATACTTCACTGCCCTCGCAGTCACGTTTCAGAGGGCCTCTAACTTCTGTTTTACTAATTTTTCTCTCTGATCTCCACTCCCCTTCCAAAAAAAGGTGTGCTGCTTTACAAATCATTTATTCCCTAAAGATGAGGTTGATTAGAATAAGGTTCATTAATTTTGCTACAGGTTTTTTTACACAAAAGGAGAGTCAGACCTTCAGCCCATTGAAGACTTGACTCATTGAAGGTGACTTTCTGTTGATCGGGGTTAGAAGCCAGGACCCGTGGTGCGAAGGAGAGGAAACCCCTTTGGCCCTAACTCAGATAAAACCGTCTTTACAAGGTGTTTTCCAGTGAAACCATATAGGAGGCTTAGTACAAATCCAGGTTTTGGAGTCAGGCATATCTAAGCTTAGGTCTTGAAAAAGTGAAGGGATCTCTCCCCCCAGACTGGTGACGGGGGTGGGGGGAGTGGTGGTTGGGTGGTGGTGGTGGTGGTGGTGTTGGTGTGTGTGTGTGTGTGTGTGTGTGTGTGTGTGTGTGTGTGTGTGTGTAAACCAGAAATTGCTTTTGGGTGCAAGGTTGGCCAATAATTGCAGGTAATGCTCCCAGAGTGGGCTTCCTGCAGGGCCCTTTGTGCAGTTCCTTTGACACCCCAGCAAGTGTTTGTTTGAGACTCTCCTCAGCTCCCAGGCATCTGGGCACCCCCTCCATCCTCTTCTGTACTGAACCCTCAGCCCCATCCCGGCAGTCTTGCTGGACTGGACCCAAGAAGATTCCATGGCTGCTCTTGCTGGCAAAGCTTACATCTGCAAATGTATGCCAGCAGCATGTCCCTGGTTCTCCCTTGAAAGCCGTTAACTCTTCTCCTGGCTTCTAGATGTTCCAAGTCACGGGCTCTGAACTCCTCAGGCTTGGATTGGACGCCATTGCTTTCTTTCCTTTGGGCTGAAGTTGGAAGGTATTGGCATCTGACCTCCTCTGTGATGCAAGCAGGGCTTCACAGCATGGCCAGGGCTCTTTCTAAGGAAATCACTTCACTTGTATCCTGAAAACATTCCATGTACTTTCTGACCCTTGTTTATATTTCAGTAAAGGTTCTGTCAATCATGAACTGGGCTTTTGGCCCTGTCCTTGAACCCTATCAGACAAGGAGTCTGATTTGTAGTCACTTTGGCAGCGTCATGGCTACCACACTGAGGCAGGGCTGCCTCCTCCTAGAGGTGGTGAGAGTGGTTCATCTTTTTTTGTCGAATCAGAGTCCCAGCAACCTTTTGTATAACACAACATCAGGTTGCTTGGTCTGCACCAGCCTCCCAATCGCTGTGCCCCAGAGCCTATTGTTGCAGCCACTTTTTTGTTAATGCCCCTCTGCGGTGGCGCTCCTTGTTTTTACTGACTCCTGCTTTACCAACCATGATGGCCTTGTCTAGCGATTGATCTTTTGGATGTCATATTCAGAGTAGCAAGAAGAAGTTTCTCACTTCTAAGGGTGGTAAGCCCGCAATTACTGAGTGCTTCCTTAACACCAGGCTCAGAGCTCGCCTCACGGTCTTTGGCCGAATGAGACTTTGGTAGACTGAGTCTCAGTAAGGTGTCTTCCGTATTTTACAGGCTTCCGTCGTTACTCTCTAATAAAGAGGTTTCCAGGACATCAAAAATATTTCCCAAGGCACTGTGAGTTTTCTGGGTTTTTTTCCAAGCCAAAGAGGCATTATAACAACGCCTTATGGTGACAGCCTCTCTCACTTGTATAGCTAATGGAATGTAAATAGATGCTTGGAGATTTTTTTGAGGGGGGAGATGTATTTTTATAACCTTCCTTCTTAAAAGTTATAATTTCCTCACAGTGAAAAGGGGAAACCTCCAAGAGTCAGCAGAATGCATCAATTTAACACAGCGGTTCTCAACCTGTGGGTCACGACCCCTTTGGGGGTCGAACGACCCTTTCACAGGGGTTGCCCAATTCATAACAGTAGCAAAATTACAGTTATGAAGTAGCAATGAAAATAATTTTAGAGTTGGGGGTCACCACAACATGAGGAACTGTATGAAAGGGTCACGGCATTAGGAAGGTTGAGATCGCTTTAAATTTTAAAGGGGAGCACAGTTGAATTTTCTATATATCATTATCCCAGAATGCCCTGTTGAGAATAAAAATGAGCGATGAGTCATAAAGAACAAGCTATAAATTCAGAGTTTGTGTTAATGACAGCCTACAAATCACCTTGTCCTTTTCTTATTGACTTCGTCTGTTTCCTAATTTTGGGTTCCCACAGTTAACACAGATTGATTATCCTTTTACAGAAAGAATCTACTTCACCTCACCCCCATACTTTCTCACCTTAAAACCTCAAGTCAGGTGAAATATACTGCTGAATTGTGTTGCGCTTTTTCTAAAACAATTGTCTTGGACAATTAGCACACTGCTTGAGGAGACGTGTGCTGTGGGGATATGTAGGACTCAAGGCAATCCAAGCCCCCAGTGATCCTCAGCGTTGGCTGATGTCTTGTGGACAGTGGACATGATATGCGTGAACTCCTAGCTTCCGGTTACGAACCTCCCACACATACCTGCAACTCCCTAACCGTGAAACTCAGCAAAGGTTTGTCTTGTCTTCCCCGCATGGTTGCGCTGTTACCTGCAGCGTTATTCTTACTTCCATTCGCTGCGGCTTCTCTCTCTGCCTGACTGGGCTGACCGCAGGCACATCTCCACCAGAGAACAAATGATCTTGCCCCTTCTGTTTTCCTCTTTTCTCCCCCTCATGCTCCTCCACACTCCCAGCGCTGTTTACAAGTGAGATCCTGAGTTGAGGAGGACTCATTTGTTGCAGAAATTATGATTTCTGCACTCACCGTCGTGGTGATCCTTTAGGGGAAACATCTTCCATTTCTTTTCGTTCCCATCCAGACTTTATCCCCGGCTTGGTTTGGTGTTCAAGCTCGAGTATTGCAGGGGTATTCCTACTGGTCTCTTCCAGCCGACAGACACACAGCTCCACTAACAGCATTAGTGAAATCGCCCTCTGTAGTTCCCCGAGGAGTCCTGGTAAAGTAGTGGGTTACACATTGGGTGGTCAACCTCAAGGCTAGCAGTTTGAAACCACCTGCCACTCTGTGGGGGAAGGAAGAGGCTTTCTACTCCCATAAAGAGTGGTGGTCTCGGAAGTTGTGCTCTGGCCTTCAGGGCTGCTCTGAGTCAGAATGACGCGGCGGCAGGGAATCTTAGCCCCTTAATAATGACGGCGTCAGAATGACACCCCTTTTCACTGACTATCCCATCAGACCACCACCAGTGTCACTGTTCACCCTCAACTGCACATGGTTTCTTCTCCTTCTGGAGCCTTGTCTTTTCCTTGTTCTCTTTGCTGGGTGTTCAGTCAGTCAGTCACTATTTCTCCCTCTTTGGATCTCTGACTTTGATGCCCTGTCACCGGTCTCCCCATCTAATGAACCGGAGAGCGGCACCATTCCCAACAATCTCCTTCCCCAGGCCCTCCCCCTATCGGATACATCGGAGCACTTGCTTAAGGGGTCTCACTTCTTTTGGGTCCTCCATTAACCCTTACCATTGTTTGTGTACATCTCAGTACCATATGTTTGTGTGATTACAGCTTCTTTGTTTCTTCAGAACCTTGCGGGGCTATCTGACACATTACCAAGTGCTTAATGCAGTTCATATAAACAGCCTGGTAGCTATGGGTTATGATTTTCTCTTTTTTGCTTCCTTTCTTCCATCTCCTTTCGTATGCTCCTGGACACAGAATGGCTAGGCAGTGTTACTTGTATTATACATGGCAGCTGGATCCTCAAAAGCCACTGGCTGGAGATAGAGAATATTTTGACTCCTCCAGTCATGACAGGAACAAGAATGTATTAAAGGAATTTGCTGCGAACTAGAGGAATGATTAAAGCCAATTATAAAATCACTTTGCAAGCCTCATTTCTGCCTAGCACCATGTATGACTGATGCTCAAGAATGATTGTTGAATGAGCCAAATATAGGTTTTTGTTGTGTTTGCTAACTTTCAAAACCACACTGGACTTGACCGCCGCTTCTTCTCTTCCCAGAATGGGCAGCTTGCGTCAGGTCCAGCTTCCTGGTCCTGTGCTACCTGCACGACGTGAAGAACGTCCTGCAGCTTCACGACCTGGCCACCGGTGCTCTGCTGAAGACCTTCCCCCTCGAGGTGGGCAGCATCGTGGGATACAGTGGGCAGAAGAAGGACACGGAAATCTTCTACCAGTTTACTTCCTTCTTATCTCCAGGTGAGGCCGCTCACCGTTGGCGAGCCGTTCGAATGGAGCGGTGCTTGTCTTTCTTTCCTGGTTGGACTCTCATACCACGTCACTGAAAAGCACAGATGGTGCGTCAGCGCAGAAATGACTATGGGGGTAAAACCAGAGCACAGATGCTCAGGACATAGAGGAAGGTCAAAGCCTGATAAGCACTCGACTCTCGTTAGTCTTACAGATGCGCAAAGTCTCTGTTCTGGAGTTCTAGGTTAATGAGAACAGAAATTAGTAAGAACAGGTGTAAGGTTAGATTCTGTTGTCTTTTGAGGGCTGTATAGCTTCAAGGACACACACAAAACAGTTAATTGCAGGCATAAAATAAAATCTCTAGCTACAATATGACACTTGAGAAAAATAGTTTCTGGAACCATCTGAGACTAAATCTGTTAAACTGAATTAAAATGTTACTTTAAAAGTCTTATCACGTCACTGAGGGGGGAAATGTGCTTATTAATTTGGTTCTAGTAGGAAGAGAGAAAAAAAAAACCTTGTAAGCTGAGGTTTTTTAAGTTTTATGGTGTTTAAATGTAAACGTTCCCCCAAATGATTATAGTTTTCTTTGACCTTTTTTAAAAGTTAGATTAATTTGCTTTATTTTCTGTTTTGTTTTTTAAACTTCTCCCTCTGACAGCACTGTTTTGTTATCGTCTGAGGCAGACCCATCCTCTGTCTGATCCCCAGGGTTTGACCTAATTGGCATTTTGCAGTTCACCAGGCAGACCTTGTCCTAAAAGCAATCCAGGTGGGAAAATAGCTGCACTCTCGTATTCATTTGTCAGTCTCTTTAACCCTTTCTGTGCCCCCCAGTTTGGGTCCAATCATTTGGTCACTGGGAAATAAAGCCATGTCAGGAGAGAGCCAGGCAGGGGCTGAAGTGGGTCTGTCCTCCCCCTGGGTGTTGGCCCAGTAGTAATGATGCCTCAAGCCGATAATTCATTGAGGATCTGAGCTTGGGACAGGTGGCTGTCAGGGTTTTGAAAAGCAAAAGGAAGATGCTCTATTGGAATAGCTGTGACGGTATATCTGGAAATGCGAGCAAACTTGATTTTCCCTACTGGAGTAGAGAGCCCATGTGAAAACACACCCAGGGCCAGGAATCCCAAACTGAAATTTCAGGAACTCCAAGTCAGGCCCCCGGCTCCTCGTCCCCTCTCCCCGGGGCCTGAAGCGCAGCATCGTCGATGGACAGGCACCAGGAAGTGCGCGTTTCCCCGTGATGGTCATCCGCAGCCCTCTGCTGTCCGTCAGTTTGTCCCCTCACATCTGTGCTAGTCCCCGGGGTTGTATTCTGGAAACGCTGTAGTTATCACCTAGTTTAAATAGAGACAGTAGTCCCTCTCCTGTTTCAGAAAATGGTATTTGTAAGGGCTCGATGAAAATGGAAATGCGTTTGGTGGTCCCAGTATGCATATGTATCTGCTGTCTGATTTGGCCCTGGAGGACACTTGCAGACAGGGAACTGGAGCTCGCTGTGTGGCGAATTAGATCCAAAAGGATGGATTTAAATGCTTCACTCCCTTTATACCCTAAATAACTCTGGATTTTGTTGGAATAAGAACAGAGTGAGGCTGACTCACCTGCTTTTTAATAAAATTCCAAGTCCCCAAAGGCCTCTAAACCTCCTTCAGTGACCCCAGGCAACCATGTATTTCAGGAACAAGCTCATCATTACCTCAGAAGAAAGACCTCATCGTCCTAGTGTAAAATGATGAGTTCGGTGCCAGCAATGAAATATTGTTCTTAATGGTGTTTGTGAAGTTGGAAGAGCAGTGTGTTTCCATTCTGAATCTCCCAGGCAGCTTCTGGGCAAGCTGTGAATCTGTTACTGTAATGCTGTTTAAGTCGCCTGTGTCTTCCCCTCGCTGGCTTTCGTCTTTCCCGTCATGCAATTCGAGATGTCAGTCCAGAGACTAGGAGTGCCGTACCCAGGGCTTTAGGTCTCTAGGCGAAGACCCGATCAGATCATTAAGCTGGATATCTCCAAATCAAGAATTGTCAGAGAGAATGCACCTTTGTACGCATGCACATCAGTTCATAAGCTATCTTGTGATGGTTAATGCTCCGCAATTGCAGTAAACAACAGAGATACTAAATTGTAAGTAAAACCCTAAGGCCCCAAAGAACTGAGCCCAATCTACCTGCTGTTTACATGTGAGTATGCCTGACGAGTGCATGTCCGCTGACTTTGTTTCCCCCGAAGGTGCACACTGAAGACATTTCTTGATCCCAAACCCTTAGGGTTTTTGCACCTGCAGCCACTCTAGGGAGGAAGCAGGCAGCCAGGGCAATTTGGAGCGTGATAAACTTATTCCCTGTGGCTCAAACCACTTAGTGGTTGAGCCGCTTAATTCTGTACTAGTGGGACTTTGGAGGGCTGGCTAAGGTTAGCTCCAGACAGATGTGCACATTGTAAAAATCCAGCTGAGCAGTCCCAGGTGCATTGCTCTGAGAAGCAGGCCTGAGGCAGGTAACAAAGCCT